GCCCCCTTTTCTCTCCTTGTCTCCTGTTCCCCCCGGAAGTACAGAGGCCCAGGAACTGCCTGCTGGCAACAGTCGCAGGATTAGTTCAGGGAAGGACTTGCTCACCTGCTCCTCCCCTCTGACTCAAGTCATAACAAGTAACCTGGTTCCCCTGGCCCAGCAGCCTGGGAGGGACGGCGGGCAGGTGGGACGAGAGGGGCAGCCACTGGCCAGCAGCTCCAGTCGGTTGGAGAGAGCACAAAGTGGGTAGCCTGTGGCCTCGGAGCCCCTGAGGTGACATGGACAGCGCCTGTGCCCCCTGACCGAGAACAGCGGCTGTTTCAGCTGTTTCCTGGATTCCCGGACCAAATCCCAGAAGCAGGTGAGGGTGGGGCAGGGTGCTGGGGCCAGACTGGCCTGGGAGTGGAAGGAGCTCAGGCAGTGGCCGTCATTCCTTCCTGCTCCGGGCCAGCTCTCGTCTGTGGTATAGGGATGATAGAGGGGTGCTGGTACCCTTGGATGGGAACCTGTCCCTGTGATTCCCCAGGCCTGAGTTTCCAGCAGTGGCGGCAAGCAAAGATGAGCTGGAGCAGACAGGCTCAGGACCTGGCTTTGGAGACACATTTGTGATGGGGGAGGTCCCCAGTGGCTCAGCCTGAGGGAAAGTGCACTGGAGTTTCCCTTCCTCCCTTTGTGACCTACTTTCCCTCCTCTGCCTTTTTTGGGGGACACTGTTCAGTCAGATAAGCTGCTTCTTAGGGTCCAGTACTGGGGCTGGTGGAGGCAGAGGGCAGGGAGGGAGAGGAGGGATCTCTGTTGAGGAGGGGGAGGGGATGTTACCTGAACTGCCTTTATCTAAAAGCTATGCCTTCTGGGAGGGGGTGAGCCTGAGCCCTGCCTATCCTGGGACTGGTTCCCCACAGCTCTGAAGGCAGCCTCAGCAGGGAAAGATGAGTTGGGTTTCCTTCGCTGTCTAACATTGTCCAAGAAATTCAGATCCAGATCTAGATACAGATTAGGGAACTGGAAAGGGCCTTAGGCATCATCTAATCTTCACTGTGCATATGGAGGAAGACCCACCAAGGCCAGGTGACTTCCCACGGTAGCACTGACAGTAGCAGAATCAAGACTAGAATCCAGGACTCTGCACTTCTGGTCCTGTGCTCTTTGCCCTACTTTGCCCTAGTTGGAGTGGCAAGTTAGTCCAGAGTGGACCCAGCATCAGGTTGGGACCATGTGAATACCAGTATCCATCCCTCCTTGGCCCTGGCGGTGAGAAGTAAGGCTGACCAGGGAGAGGGGGAACTGGAGGCAAGGAGAGGGCTGCCAAGGCACTCCCTTTGTCCCTGCAAGTCCCCATTCCTCTCTGCAACAATCCAGGAGACCCTGAGAAGCAGGGGCTGAGTTACTCCAACTTTCCAAGGCAACACCTCAATGGTTAATAATTAATTGGCAAATGTGACTAATTAATGACTTTCCCTCCCACATTACCTCCTCCCCTGTCCAAAGCAAAAGTGCTCACCTTGCTAGCTGAGGCTCTGTCTTGCTTCCCAGCTCTGGCTAGGCCCTGCCCTGGCTTCTGGGGAGAGTCAGACAATACCCTGAGTGGGTAGATGGTCTGGACTTAGTGTGGGAGTATGGGGGGTGTGTGTGAGCTGTCTGTACCTCTGTCCTGTCCTTATCTCCAGGCAGGAGAGGGTTTTGGATGAATGGACAGTGCAGAGCTAATAGTCACCCTAACTACCCTGGGGTTCCAGAATATATAGCCAATCTTTCTCCTTGGCATGTGTGCAAAGGCCCCACCATAACCTTACAGGTTGTTTTTCAAAATCACACGTTCTTGTCCAGTGTGGTGGCTCATGCCTGTAATCCTAGCACTCTGGGAGGCCAAGTGGGTGGATCACCTGAGCTCAGGAGTTTGAAACCAGCCTGAGCAACAGTGAGACCCCGTTTCTACTAAAAATAGAAAAATTAGCCAGGAGTTGTAGTAGGGTCTGTAGTCCCAGCTACTTGGGAAGCTGAAGCAAGAGGATCGCTTGAACCCAGGAATTTGAGGTTGCTGTGAGCTATGACTCCATAGTACTCTATCCAGGTTGACAGAGTGAGATTCTGTCTCAAAAAAAAAAAGGCATACATTCTCTATACTTCCTTGGAGAACTAAAATTCCAAAGTGCAAGGTACATGATGTTTTCAGGGTGTTTTTAATTGTTGGTGCCCATTGTGCTTTGATAGGCTTGTTGTTTATGTAGATCCATAAAAGTTTTTGATTGTTCCTGCTCTTTCAGTCTTGATAGGCAGAGGTACTATTGGGGACCTGGCCGAAAGCAGTCCCCTGTCCCTCTCGGCCTTGCTTTATTGATCAGCTTTCCTGAGGCCTACTTCTCTGTCCTGTTGGCTGCCTGTGGAGGGGTGGAGCCCACCTCCCCACCCTACAGCCCTGTGCTCTGAGCAGGCAGGATAGGTCCCAGACGGAAACTCAGAAGGACTTTTGGACTCTTGCTCAATGGGCTGACTCAGTGAGGAGGTGGCTGGGCTCTCCTTCCAGACCGCCTGCCCGGGCTCCGCCTGCCCCTCCCCAGGCCTTCTGCTGCCAGCAGCTGGGACCCTGACCAGGGGTGTGGGTTTAGTGAGGAGAGAGAGGGGGCGGACACAGGTGTTGTTTAGGTGACTGGTGTTTGGCTGGACCAACACAATAGGATTACACCCGTTCCACTACCCTTTCTGGCCTTGTACAGTTTCTGCTATAGTTGCTGCCTCCCAACCCCCATGTCCTGGAAACTCTGACAGACACAGCTCAGGTCTCCTCTGGTGTGAGGTATAGGGGATCTAATCTGACTTTCCCTGGAAGGGTCTGCCAAATATGGCTGCCAGCTTCAGAAGAGCGTGCTGACATATATTGGCTATACCTGCCTACAGATGGATAAAATAGTCTAGAGACCAGGGCATCCTGGGTTTTGGGAGCCCCACACCAGGACCTTGGCCCTGTGCCCAGCCTCTTCTTGAAATGCCCTCAGCCACTGGGGCAGTAGGACATACCTCATGCCTCTCAAGTTCTGGGGCTGAGGCTAGCCATGCCCATGAAGACACCTTCCCCTTCCTCCCTTCCTCCTTACTGTGTCATCTTATCTCTTTTTTTTGGTCCCTTTCCTTTTCATCCTCTCTCTGCTCTTTTCCCTGTTGTCCTTAATCCTAATCTAGGTGGCTCTTGTGGCCACCACCTGTCAACATTCTTAGGCCTAAAGGACTTTGGCCTAGAGTACTCTCTTGAAAGGGAGTGTTAGGCCACTGAGAACAGGATTTGCTGGCGAGACCCACAGCGCCTGCTCTCAGGCAGCACCCACATTATGAGAATCCCCCAGCCCCGATTGTTCCCAAAGCACAGTCCACATTTCCACTCCCTCTACTCTTAAGCTCTGTTTGTAACCAAGGGAGTTCACAGTTACACTCTTTTCTCTTAAAAGCTGGGGAAACTCCAGGCTACCTTCATATCCTGTCCCAGGTTGGGCACGGTGTCCCTCCTCCCTGCTCTGTGTCCCCTCCTCCCAGAAATCTGCCATGGAGAGTAAGGATGAGGTCAGCGACACTGACAGCGGCATCATCCTGCAGTCTGGTGAGTGTTTGGGGAAATCCCACTGCCTGGGCCCCCAGCCCTGACTCCTAAGTCCAGGCTGAGACTCCCCAGGGGTAGGAGGAGAGGGAGGAAGAAGCCTCCTGTGCTGGCGGGGGGTGGGGGGGGGTGCTGAAGGGCTGGAGCCTTAGGGATACCTGGAGTTTTCATCCCTGGAGTTTTGGTCCTATCAGGAAGAAGGATATGTAATGTTCAAATTTAGCCCCAGTGGTTACTAAGAAATTGAAATATCTCATCTGGCCCATGTCAGGATCCTGTCTCTCTGGTCAGCTGGAGTTTGTGGGCCGAGTCTGGACTAGTCTTGACAGAGGGCAAGAAAGTAGAGGCATGTGAGTGTGTGTGAGGGAGGGGAGAGACAGAGAGAGAGGGAGAGAGAGAAGGAAGAGGCGGAGGCAGGAGGAGAAGGAGGAGGAAGAAAGAGAGAGTTCTGACCATGTAGTCCTCTCCCCCATGGGAGGCTGCTTGGTGGGATGGCTGTTCCTTCTGAGCTGTATGTAACATTGCCATCTTTGGGCAGTCAAGAGACATGATGTTTTGTGGCTATGACACAGGCCACGGCAGCCAAACTGTAATTAGTAGGCAGGCATGAGGCTGTGTGTGTGTGTGTGTGTGTGTGTACACGTGCATGTGTTGCTCCCCTGGGGTGGTCAACATGTGTCTGCGAGGGGCTCCAACCTCAGGGTCCCTGAGTGTGTGCCCCTGCTGCCCTCCTGCAGGCCCCGACAGCCCAGTCTCTCCGATGAAGGAGCTGACCCATGCAGTTCGTAAGCAGCAGAGGGCCCTGGAGGCGCGGCTGGAGGCCTGCCTGGAGGAGCTGAGGAGACTCTGCCTGAGAGAGGCGGTGAGAGCCCTGGCCAGCCCCCACCCTGCACACCCAAGGTTGGGGTTAATCTGAGGATCCCTGGAACCCCAATTTGGGGGGCTGGGGGCCTGAAGGGAGGGAACCCCATTCTTGAGGGCATTCTGGAAATCAGTCTGAAATCTGGTGCTGAGAGTCCCTCTGAGGCCTTATGTGACCTGGGCACTAGACAGAGGAGAATTAGACTCAGGCATGGGCCTGGGCCCCGAGAATGAAGGACATGAGAGGCTGCAGAGGGACTGTGTGCATGTCAGTGCCTGTGAGAATTTTAACAGGGCTGGTGGAGTGCTTTGGAGGAAGTGATCAGAATGTGGTTTGAAGGGAAGGGGAGGGAGTGCAGAGCGGGCGCTAAGATGGGCCAAGATGGGATGGGGAGGCCACCCTAGGAGCCCCTGTGGAGGGCAGGCATGTGCACCACGGGGGCCAGTGGACGAGCGCTTCTTGGTTGGCCAAGGGCTGGGCAGGTGGAGAGGGCCTGGCTTGACTCTGTTTCTACTCCAGGAGCTGACAGGCACCTTGCCAGCAGAATATCCTCTCAAGCCAGGAGAAAAGGCCCCCAAGGTCCGCCGCAGGATCGGAGCATCTTACAAACTGGAAGAGTGGGCCTTGCACAGAGAGGTGAGGACTGCAGGAAGCCGAGAGCACCACTCATTCCCCAGTGATTGGTCATGGAGGCACAGGACCTCAGTCTGGTACCCTGGAGGCTCCCCTGCACCCATTCACAACCAGTAGGGTGCTCGGTTCCATGTTGGCAAGGGGCATCACCCCAAATGGCGGCATGATGAAGGTAGCGTGCCACCACAGGAACAGAGAGCTGGGAGCTCAAGGGAGGACACTGGGTTTGGCTCCAGTGGGGCGAAGATCAGTTAAGAGCGCCAACCACCAACCCAGACAGGCAACCACATTCAGACAGGTTGTGCTGGCCTCTAGGGCTGGCCTCCTTTTTCTCAGCACAGGAGGAAGGAGGTGGGGTGGCTGGGGCCCTGGGTGCCTTTCCCCTGTATGAATGGCTGCAGTTTCCCATGGGCTGGCCTGCCCAACCCTTCAAGGTCAGGAGAGAAAGTGTGCCACTAGGGTTCCCACCCTACCTGGTTCAGCAGGCAGGCTGGTGGGCGGGTGCTCTTGCTGGCTTTCCAGGCCACAAGTTTGCTCTTGGGCCCGTCCCACCCTCCACCCTCACACTCCACCCTCTGCCCCATGTCCCTGGGTGCTGGCTGTCTGCCCCTTCTCTGTGTCCCCCAGCCCCTGCCTCTGCCAGGCCTTACCCCCTCCCTCTCCCTCAGGACCCCCTGAGCAGCTTGGAGCGCCAGCTGGCCCTGCAGCTGCAGATCACCGAGGCCGCCCGGCGGCTGTGCCTAGAAGACAACCTGGGCCGGCAGGCTCGGCGGCAGCGGAAGCACGCGGTGCTGCAGGAGGAGAAGAAGCTGCGTGAGCTGCAGCGCTGCCTGGGTGAGCGGAGACGCAGCAGTGAGCCCCCTCCAGCCACGGGGCTCCCATTGGGCCGAGGTGAGCCAGCTGCCCCTCGGGCCAGGCGTGCCTGCCTCATACCAAGCTTCTTTGGAACCAGGGCTGCATGGCCTCTGCTGAGTGGCTTTGCACTTGGTTAGCGCTGCCGGCATGCCCAGTGCTGGGTTCAGTGTCCCATCTTGGCTCCAGCAAGGTGAATTTGCTTCCTCGGTCCACTGCAACCCCATCCTGACCCTCGGTGACACCAGCAAGCCTTCTCCATCCTGCGAGAGCCTCTTCTCTACCTTTGTAGAAAATATCCTCTTCTTCCACGTCCTCCTCAAAGGACACTACCTTCAAGAAAACTTCCTAGACAGAAGGCATTCCCCCAGCTGACCCTGAGCTTAGTCCAAGGGTTTATTCAAGTGGGGTAGCTTAGGCCTGCCCTCTGCCCTCAGGCTCTCAGGGCCATGGCTTGCCTGTGTCAGGGCTGCCAGAGGTTCATGTGAGCCCCAGGCTCTGGGCCAATGCACTCACTCCCCCCTGGCCTGAGTAAGGCAGCCCAGGGTTGACTGCAGCTATGTGTAACTGCTCGCTGAACTGTTTCAGGAGCTCACAGCTGCTCATGGGACGTTTAGGTTGAAATCCAGCAGCACCGGTGCCACTCTCCAGAATCCCTTTAGTATCTACAACCACCTAGCCAAGAGCAGAATCCTTCGCTTCTGTTCTCTGCCCTTATTGTACCTGTAGTTCAATCCCTGAACCCGTGGCACAGAGAACAGTGGCTGTGGGGCATCTAGTGAGATGTCAAGGCCCAGGGCCAGCCACATGACATCAGTTTGTCCAGCCTGAGTTACCTTCCAGCAGGTGGTTCCAAGCCCTTAGTTATGACCATTTTTCTTTGCCCTGAGTTAGAACTTGTAGTTCACCAGCCCTCTACCCAGTCCCCACCGCATCATGCCTTTGGCTCAGCCCTGCCCCCCAGATCTCACAGGGGTCTCAGGCCTTCCTGGCTGCATCTGAGGGACGGGAGGGAATAGGGAGGTGCCCTGGGGGCAGAACTGGATTCAGAAGCCTTGGTTGGAAAGTGGCTGCTTCTGTCACTTTATCAGGCTTGTTGGGTTGGGTTTTTGCCAAGACTACTCTCCTCCCCTGTCTAGAAGCACATGTATAGAAGCCTGAAGGCATTTCCTTGTCCCTGTCCCCACGGCTCATGCGTCAAGCAGGCATAGGTCTCACGAGTGCCTGTTCCCACCTAGGGCCTCTAGTTAAGGGTAGAAAGTGTATGACCAGATACCACCCAGGTCACCTCCAGCAGCTGGGAGTATATAAGAAGGGAGGCCGTTCCTCCATATGTCATTTGACCCAGTAGACACGGAAGAAGAGGGGTTGACCTGGGGTGGTGGCCAGACTAAACTAATGGCCCTGGCTTGGGTACAGAATAATATTCCCAGTCTCCAAGGCTCTAATGAAAAAGTTCCATCCTTACCCTACTCTCAACATGGCTCACAGGACTTGACCTTCTGCTGAAAGGCAGCTGCTGGCTTGGCATGGAAGTCTCTAAGAGCCAACTTGCCCTGTGCTTGTATGGAGCTGTTGAGGTAGAGAGATCTGCTCCCATCCTAGTTGGTCACAGCCCCACCTGTATCCTTCTCCAGCCTCACACTGCCCCTCAGCCTCCCCTGCCCACCAATGCTGCATTTGCTAGGAGCTTCTGCCCATGACCGGGAGGTGGAGGGGTGTCACTCTGCTGCTGCCATCATGACTGATGATGCTTCTTTTGGGGAGACAGTAACAGGCCAGGACACGCCTAGGGCTCTGGCTTAACCCTCTGTGGGAGGCAGGAGGCTGAATTTCTGAAACCACTCAGCCCAGGTAAAGATAGAGATGGAGAGAAGAAACACCTGGCCTAGCTGCTGACTTTCCCAGATCAGGTAAAAGACCCTGCTCTCCAACTTCGGGAATTACTTGTCTAGAACTGCCCCTTTCTACGCTCCCCAATGTAGGACATTAGATGGAGAGTGTAGAAAGGGGCAGTTCTAGACAAGTAATTCCTGTTCTGTGGCTCCTCTGCCCAACAGTGTTCTCCCAGAAAGAAGGAAGTAAAGAGGGCTTAATAATTAATTAGTAGCTGAAAGGTGTTTTGAATTGAAAAGAAAAAAAAATCCAAAGCCAAAAACCCCATGCCCACTTTGGTCTACATACAGGGTTACTCAATTTGGGAAAGTAATTATGCCAGGGGAGATTAATTAGGACTCCGCAGCAGCAGAGAGCAGTCAGACATTAAATTAATTTATTAGGGTGAACCTGGTGACAGCTGCCCCAGCATACACTGCTGTAACATAGTAGGCACTTAGCATGAGTTGGTTGATTGACAGTACCAGCTTTTAGCAACACTTGAATAGAATGTCTATGCTAATGGATCTGGTCTGTATCTGTGCTGTCCAGTACGGTAGCCACCTGCTGCATGTGGCTACGGAACATTTGAATTGTGCTTAGTGTGGCAGAGGAGTTGACTTTTAAATTTTATTTAATTTTAATGAAAATAGCCATTTAATTTTAATGTAGCTTGTGGCTAGGTGTTGGCAGCACAGCCTTTGAGAAGTTTCAGAGTTTGTGAGTATGGTCTCCTTAGTTATCTCTCCACCTGGGGTGTCCTGCTGCTGTTGCAAGGCCGGGGGAGGTTGAGCCAGGGCTGGGTCAGGACAGTGGCTGAGACAGGGAGCAGCCTTCAGGGACCCCTTGTGCTTGGTTGGCAGACCGATGTGCCCCACCCACTCATGCCCTGGGCTGTGTGTCTCCAGATTCCCTTCTTTGCTTTGTTTATTATGCCCTATGAAATGCTGATCTCATTTTTAGGCAGATACAGGGTGACTGGGAATAATGTCTTTCCTCCCATATCATCCAGCCAAACCAAATCACAGAACTTTGACGCTGGCTGCACTGTCCTGTATGCATAGTATAGTTCCACAATTTCCTCAACTTGATGTTTGTGAAAAATAGACATGTTTATCCTTTAGGTTTTTGTAAAAGATCAGAGGCAGGGAGCCAGACTTTAATAAGAGGCTATCTGCTGATTATGAGTCTAATAAGGCGTGGGCTGGCTGGCTACTCCAGAGTCAGGCCCACCTCCTGTCACTGTGTGGCCTACAGAGTCTCAGACCTGCTCTGGGTAAAGTTTTTATTTCATTTAAGTTGTGGAGCAAAGATCGATAAACTTTCATGTCAAGGGCCAGACAGTACATATTTAGCCAGACGTTGCATAAACAAATCCATAGCTGTGTTCTAATAAGACTTTGTAAAAAGCTATTGCACTGGATTGGCCCATGAGCCCTGGTTTGCCAACCCCTACTGTAAGGGATTTTAAGATGATTGGAACTTTTCACTTTCTTAAAACTTTCTGGGTAATGACCTATGCGTTAGATGCTAGCCCACAGGAAAGCTGATAAGAGGTTGTGGTTGAGAGCACAGACTCACTGTCTAGGAGTGAATCCTGACTCAACCACCTTTTGGTGGATTGACCTAAACCATGTTACCTCTGACATGTGGTTTCCTCAACTGTCACATGGAGGTGATAATATCCATCTTTCATGCTTGTTATGAGGATTATGTGAATTAATACATATAAAGTACTATATATATATAT